GCATCCTTTCGACCGATTAGAGGTCAACATCTCCTCCTTTATTGGACAGACGGGCGGCCGGGCACACATATCTAGATCGACTCAGCTAGTCGAGATATGACGATCGGTATACTAAATTATGGGTCTAGGACAAATATTTCTCTTAGGGCCACACAAAGTTATAATACCCTGTTGCATATAATTATGTATGTAGCTATCTATACATATATAATGAATTGTTGTTCGTTAGTCTCGCTAAAACTCGAGATCTTATTTGATCTTAGGCTTGAAATGTTTGTGGAGGTCCAGTGAAGGTTTAAAACATTTTTCAAAAAATATTATGAAGCATATTTGCATTTCCGAATTTTGTATGGAGTTGTTCAGATTCCACCACGTCGTAGTTGCTATTTTGGGGGAAAATTATGCTACCAATTTCATAGCGTTATGCCATGTTCTGACGGGCAATCGAACAACGTAGTTCGCTCTCAGAATTACGTACATGAATTAACCCGTTCATACAACACTATTCTTAATTCATGTCATCAGAGTTTTTTTTTATTTCAAACTTTTTGTTTCTTGTTTTACGCCAAAATTGTAACATATTTGCGTGAATCACATATGGATCTAAATAGAAAAAATAATTCTCTTTCTCCTGACTATAGTATGAACCTATATCTATTTACTTTTAATTCATGTTTTCCATTTTTTCTGAAAATATTGTCGTTTTAAATACATTTTTATATTTTCTCAACTCAAATGTCACATTTAAAAAATTGGAGAATTTTTGTTTGGGTTTCCCCACTTTTGTTCCTCGTTTTGTACGCTAATTAGAACCAAGGGGAAAGAAATGCATTTTGCATTATGTAGGCAACAAAATGTACATCCTTCTGCATATATAAAAACTACAATATTGGTTACATTTCATTCATCATTTTCAATTTTACTGAAAACGTTTGAAAAATTTTAAAATTTTTTCATACTGTCAAAATTAATTTATTTTCGATAAATTCTCTCAATTGTTAGAGATGGGACAAAATTCTTGGTGATTCAGAGAGTGATTCGAATTGAACAAAGTACGAAAGTCGGTGTTCGCTCAGATAACTTTGTATGGGGAACTAAGTAATTAAGGGCTAAGCAGAATGCTCGCGTTGAGCCATAGACTAATGAATGTATAGACGACGAAATGCTCTCACCAGTCCTCTCTGAATTGAGTCTGCTGAATGCGCTACTCAATTTTAAATGGTGATTTACTTAAATGTTTAAACTTTTTAATTTGGAATGCCACTAAATATAGTTAGTTTTAAGCAAAAACTATATCCTCAGATAAAAACATTAAAGAAAAATAGGTCATTTTCCCCAAAAAACGTCTTTAAAATTTTTGAGTTTTTTTATTTTGAGTCACTTGACTGCGCATTTTTTGAGTATTTCGTCGTCTATATCTTCATTAGTCTATGGCTATATCTTCATTAGTCTATGGACTGGTGAGAGCATTTCGTCGTCTATACATTCTATGCTTCTGATTGGCTGTTATGTTGATTTTGAAGTGTTGCCATCTAATTTTGGCATATTTACTAGATTTTCGTTCCCGAACTTTTCAAAATATTTTGCACTCTGAGAGCAATTTTGAAATGTTTCCCTTTTACTGGATTTACTATTAAAAAAGTACTGGAACAGACCATATATTGAAACTATTTTATTGGAGAATACGATAAATAATTCAGAAATACATCATTGAATGTATACGCAATCATTGTATTTTCTATCCTATTGAAATGATGGAAAATCCGAAGTCATTCTGAATCGAGTTTGTGTCCATTCAGGGAATTTTGATTCTAAGATCCAGCCCTAGATTATTTTGTTTGAAAATAATGATAATAGTCCATGTTCCTCCTTAGTCTGGGTTTATACATGCAACTTTTGTAAGCAACTCTGCTGAGTTCTTAGAAGTGAGAGGTATAAATATGACAAGAGGGAAGAAATTCAAAAGAAAATCGAAGAGAGCAGCAGCAGAGGTGCTTAAAAAAGTTGCATGTATAGACCCAGACTTAAAGTACCTACAGTTTTGCTATGTCACGGAAAATATAAAATGAGGTGGTACCATTATGTGGTGGTTATAAAAATATATATGCGATAACAGAATGTGTATCACCGATAAAATTTGATATTAAACTGGAATGAGAACAACTAACTATAAACCAGCAATAAAAAATTCTAATAATCATGATATCTAATTTGAAGGATATGCCAGTGCCATTACCGATCCGCCAAATGTTTTTTCGTTCTGAAATTTCCGTGGATATAATTTTAGTAAAAAGTGAATTCATGGAAACTAAATGTCACGTACAGTAAAGGCAACAAGACAACAAGATACCGAATTGTCAAATATTACATGATTCGGATTTAATTAAATTCTTCCCAATTATTATTATCAAGTAGGTTGTTTGGTATTGAAGATGGGATATATACAGTAAACCAACAATATAAAAAATGCCGTCAGAAACACATATTATAACATAGAGTCTCATGATGTTACCAATTCGTTTTACAATGCATGTCAATTACCGATATATAAAATGCGGACATTTAATAACAAGTTAAATGGTAGAAAGGTTCGCAATACATGAAAACCCAAAATACAAATTTATACATATCGTTAGCTAAAATCCAAAAAGGCGTAACTAACAAAAGCATAATTGTGTAGGAGAAGCAAAAAACTGTTTTGAATTAAAAATATAAACATGTCATGTGAAATGAAATAGTATGCCTGGCAGGGTGATATTGCAAAAAAAAAATAAAAATTGACTTTTTGAATGCATATTTGAATGTCAATAAACTACATGTGTTGAAATTTTAATAAATTTTAGTAAGAAGGTTCGCAATACATCGAAAACCCAAAATACCAAGTTAAGTACATATCGTTAGCTAAAATCCAAAAAGGCGTAACTATCAAAAGCATAATTGTGTAGGAGAAGCAAAAAACTGTTTTGAATTAAAAATATAAATTTGTTAAAAAAATAGACTATATTAATATTAATAGACTATATTTTTTTAACAAATTTAGTTATTTAGTTTAATGGCAGTCATTACAATTAAGTACAAATTTGAATTTTTTGTTAGTTACGCCTTTTTGCATTTATCAAATAAACCCACTTGTAGTTACGTCTTTTTGTTTTTTGTTAATAGAAGCTCCGTTTTTGACCGCAGACGTGTAAAACTTTGTCAACACATGTAGTTTATTGACATTCAAATATTCATTCAAAAAGTCAATTTTAAATTTTTTTTGTTAGTTACGCCTTTTTGCATTTTAGCTGACGATATATGTCTTTATTTAATTTGTGTTCCAATAATTCAATTATTACAATATATATATATATCCACCGACATTTTAGAAATGTGTGCTATAACTTCCGATGTAACGTATATATGGGTAGAAATATGAAAAGTTTATCTATACCAACAATTTTCACGGATATTTCTTACCCAGAAAAATTGTTTATGAAAGTATGAATAGAAATTGAAAAACAAATCTAAAATGCCGAAAATTATTCCTTAACAATATCGCTAAGGCAAGACAACGTTGGCCGGGCCCGCTATTAATAAATAAAAATAATATAAATATATATATTGTTTTGTTCATGAAGATCCAAGAATCTTAAACTAATCGAAATTGTTTTCCATATTCCCTTTATTCTTTTAACAAGTTTTACTGCTTTTTGAGTACGGAAAAAACTATTGATATGTTCCCGCACTGCAAGAATCTACAATTTTTTACTCCGATAACACTTTTTTCCTTTATGATATCGAAGAAAATAGTAAAATCGAGTAGATTCTTGCAGTACGGGAACAGACCATATATTTATATAAAAACATACATGTGAACGGCATTTAAATTAAACGACATGTACACTAGAACTTTTTCACCGGGTTAACCTACTTTATGAGGATTTATGTGACATATATGCAAAGGAATCGACAATTGAAACCCACTGGGTTAACGAAACCCGCTTAAATGTAAACATACTATTAGAACTTTTTGCAGGTTTAACCTCCTTTTACGGATTTATTCGACAAATAGGCAATGGAATTGACAAATGAAACCCACTGGGTTAACTAAATCCGGTACAATGTAAACGTACTATTAGATTTACTTATAAATATAAATGTAGTAAAAAATAACGAAATGTAATAACATATTGAAATTTGTCCATACTGCTATATACATATATATATATATATATATATATTAATAATTATAGTAAATTATTCCAATATTCGTGAAGAATTGGCGCCACTTTAAAATTGAAAACAATTTCGATTAATAAAAAATTCTTGTAGGATCTAAACCGACTAATAGGGATACGAAACTCCAAATCTAAATGTTTTCAATGTTAGAACCGCGTAGTCAGAAAGTCCACTACAATAAAATAATTAAATATTTTTAGAATTCAGTAAAAGTTTGAACAGTGCAAGCACTACAAGACAAATTTTATACGACTTCACTAAAATAAATATTGATCAAGGTTTTAAAAATACTGGCGACTAAATATGACAGAACATAGAAATCAAAGGAATATTGAGGCAACATAACTCCAGCTATTTTGCATTTATCGATTTTTTTTTTTTTTGCCTACTTAGGTCTGCAAAATTTTAATTTTTACAATTGCAAATTGTTATCCAGTTTGCCGGCTGAAGTTCTCTCTGCATCCGGTATAGTTAAACCACTACTAACCCGAATTGGTCCCGCTTTTGTCGTGTACGCGCTTCTTTTTAATAGGGAGGTAGCCTCCTCGGTCGGCAGGTAAAGTACCGCGATGTTGCAATTAAATGGAGATATTGCACATTATCACAATTAAAGCTGTAGTCTGAAACCGTATAACATATAATAAAAAATTCTCATACGTTCTGTTTTTAAACTTTAATTTTGGAACAAATCAAAAAAATACAATTCAATATTTATTGCAAGATTTTGAAATATTGCAAAATATTAGAAAAATATTTTCTAATATCATATGAAATCGAATTTAGCCTTTACGGCCCCTTGTCCCAGTGGATATTGCTTTTGTGGTCCTTGGCATCATTGTGGTCGTGGTAGGGGTGGTAACCTCTTCGCTTTCTCCACTGTAATCGCTGTCTGTTATCATCATCGTTATGGCTTCGATTAATGTCATATTTGAATTGGTACCCTGAATTATATTTGGAATGCTGATCTGGAACTGCAGCAACACCACAAGATATGTGACCATCGTTGTCAAGAGCTATAATTAAGAGCAGACATATGAGTGTACACACACAATTACCATCCGCATAGGAATGCCAATCAGATAAAATTTCCAATTATGTCACATTCAGACGCACTCACCCCTTTAAAGAGATTGCGATTAACGTCGAAAAATCCACCACAATTAATATTCGATGGGTTCATTTCGGTGGCTCGTAAAAACATATTGATTTCGGTCTGTGCATCCGAATTCATCCAATTCAGTTCGACCATCAGTAGTTTCTTTTGGAAATTGGTTCGAACATATAGCGAGGCATTGTGGGCTTGATCGCAAATGAAAAACAGCAGGCAAATGTTCCAAAGGGCTGTTATGGCCAGGCCAATGTCCTTAATGCCAAAGCCTTCCGATAGTTGAGACATAAGGCCATAGATGGACAGTGTTATTATGAAGAATAGATACAGATTGAGAAAGGTGAATGTGTAGCATGTGGCGGTACCAGTGTCACGTGTCAATTTACTAAGTCGTAGCCAAAGAGCTCTATGGTCGGCAACCATTGCTGCCGGGCCAATATGCCGTAAAGCCTATTGAAAAGAAAAATACAGAAAATTTGAGACCAGAATGTATAATAACCTGTAAAAATAAAAACTTTTTAAAAATCAGAATAATTATACATACACACCTTTTGAAAACGTTCAGCCAATATATAGGCCGTTGTACTCAAAGCCTCACAAATGAGATACCACCAAGCACCCAACATAGCTGTCAAATTATCCAAAATGCAATACGGAATAACCTACGGGAACCTCAATAATTATGAACTAGTTTAAGGACACTAAGCAGTTCGTTCATTAGAACATTCAGTTATACCTGGACAAAACTAAAATCAGCCATGGTAATGTGTGTCACGATTACGGAAAGTATTGATAGTATCGGCAAAACAAGAACTATGTTCTGAGCACGGCGTCTCAGATTCAAGGGCACGCTATGTCCTGATATTTGATAATAGAGAATCTGAAATATAAATAAATCGATTAACAACGAAAATATAGTAACGTACACCATCATATTTACTTCGAAGTCGTCCCAGTCGTTGAACAACGTACACACTTTTCGAGTCTCCCACCACATAATTGGTATAATGAAAATGGGCAATATATTTACCAGAAATAGGTAAGCAATCACTGCCTCCTCGAATGGACCGCTTAACGAAGTAACGATCATTATGCGCTGGTTTGTGACATAAGCCACATAGGCCTGCAAGTGTTTAAAGGGACCAAACATAAGTAGTTTCCATTATACGAGTATGCATACATTTTTAAAACAGTTACGGAGCTCTTATTCAGTAACCAATAAGTCTGTTCCAAAATCTACAAGATTGAAGGGACTGGAGCGGTTATAAATATTGTAAGGCCTGTGCATCATCGTATCGTCTATTCCGCGGAAAATATCGCTGCTGTGAGTGAATGTGTTGCCAAAGACGTGAATGTTTCGATTCCCCATCCTTCTCAGGAATTATGGTAATTGATCATATGATAATTGATTTTGTTTTGCCTGCTATGCCATACAACTCTACCGAAAATGTCTTTGTGGCAAAATTGGAGCGAAATTACAAACATCTGATGAGAGCAATTTGGGATTTGTTAAAATCGTCTCAAATATTGATATATTTCCACAAAAGAATAAAATTTTATCCGATTTAAAAATTTGTAAGTAAAGTCCATATATAATTTCATCAGATTTCATGTAAATATGTAGCAAAAAATAGTGCCACCTATTCTTACCTTACTCGTGTGGCCCGTATCAATTGAATGTGCTATATAAATACCGAAAGCATAACGGTACAGTAATCCGATATATCCCATTTGCAATACCAAAAACCCGACAATATTTATTATTCCGTCTATAGTGACGTCAGCAAAACGGTATAACATACATAAACAGTCTATTTTATCCAAAATTTCAAAATGCTTACACGCGAATTTCAAAATGCTTACATAGGATCAACGATCTTTGACCAATATTTCGATGTGTTGGTAAATGTCCGCATTCTAAAATCCAAGTTTATTATTCAAACTTGTCCCGTAAAATGGTTTGATGGTTTCGCCGATATTTGCAAATTTTTTGAAACTCTCTTGCCATAATTAATCCCCTTAAACATAAATATTTCTTACCGATAAACAGATAAAGATCACCACACAATAGACAAATGGTAGCGAACGAGCAACAAATCGTGTAGTGCCCGGACCCGAACGTATCATTGGCAGTACGCCAAGCATGGACAGGAACCACTTTATTGGAGCCACATTCTGATAGAACACATTCTGCAACGGATAGCAGTAGAAAGAAAGTACTTTTAGCATATTAGATACTTCGCTATTTGGCCAATTAACCTACGGGAATGAATTGCTGATTTGTCGAACTTATGGTCGCCAGAGATGGCCGAATGTTGGCCCGTTCATAAACTTGTTTCCTAAATCCATTGTGCATTTGATCCATGATGCCATTCGAGTATTTCCGAACGGAAACTACTCCATTCATTGTTGGCTTAACATTCAGGAACACGGCATCCTTTTTCTTTTTACGGGTATAGTTGCTCACCATACTTGCCCACAAAAATTTGCTTGTTTCGACTACTGCTCTGTCAAAAGGTCACCAACGAACTGTGACTCGCCCTATCGAAGGAGTTAACAGGTTAACTACGTTGTGGACATTCGTAGACGTATCTATTCTAAATGCAATTAAAAATGCATGATGTTGACTTGAAGTCTTCTGTTCGGCCAGTGTCAACATAAATTCGTCATTCATTATTCACGACAAGACATGGGTGGTAGTGGTGGTGGCAGTGGAGGAAGTATCTTCAAGTCTTACACAATAAAATAGAGTCACATTGACATCGAATTCAACAAGAAGGCACATTCGTGTGTTTTTCTAAGGAAGGTGCCAAGCAATCAACCAACCCCTTTTCTTTGTTGAACTTGAGAATATTTTTAGACAACTTCCGAACCAACATCTAAATGTTGTGATGCACTTTTTGTGTTGACCTTAGCCTATAACGGGCTACACAGTTCATGAGTTTTCGAAAAATATTTAGGTCGGGGCCATTAAAGGAAGGATCATCAATTAGCATGGCTAACGTGGGACATGGTGCTGTTTTTGAGTTGCACGTCCAACAAACATTTTAGTTTCTAAAGATATTGTTTACTTAAAATATCAAAAAAGTCGATAACAAAAAACTTATATCTACAATATCCTGTAGATATAGAAATTTCGCATACATAAGTTGGGACTTAATTCAGTACTCTGTGCAAAATTTTGTCTCAATCAGATAAATAAATCTGAACCGATTCCAACAAAATTTCACATACATCAGTCGGGACCTAATTCAGTACTGTGTGCAAAATTTTGCTTTAGTCGGACCTCTATTGGGAGTTTGATGCACTATTAACATTAAATCGGACGAAACTATAATTTGGAGCTGTATCTAAATCTGAACCTATTTCAACAAAACTTTGCATATAACTACCTAGACCTAATTCAATACTCTGTGCAAAATTTTGTCTCAATCGGATCACTAATGGGAGTTTGGTGCATCAATAAGTTAAAATCGGACAAAAATATATATGGGAGCTATATATAAATCTGAACCGATTTTCTCAAATTTCAACAGGGTTTGTCCTTGGGCCTATTAAGTGACCTCTGCCAAAGTGATTCTATGCATATTCTCAAAAGGAATCCTGGGTCTATTTCGTTTTTTTTCCTGTTAAAAACATATGCAAAACATATGCCCTGTACCCCAGTGTGGTGAAGGGTATAAAAGGGGGTTATTTGTGGACTATCCCTAAAAGGGGGCGAATATTAACAATTTTTGGGAGGGAGGTTTGTTACCATATACGACTACAAAAAACCAAATTACAAAGAATTTGGTTGAAAAACGCGCTCAAGAACCCCAAAATACCGAAAATTGGGGGTTACCCTTATTTGGGGGCTACCCGAAAAAATGGACCTATATTTATAATTCATAGTGGAGTAATTTGCTACCTAATAAGAACTCGACGTACTAAATTACAGTCAATTCGGTCGAAAAATACGATCAGAACCCCCAAAATACCAAACATTTGGGGGTACCGTTATATGAGGACTACCAGAAAATCTGGACCTATATTTATAATTTTTAGTGGTGTAATTTGGTACCCAATAAGAACCCTATGTACAAAATTTCAGAGAATTCAGTTATAAAACGAGCCCAAGAACCCGAAAATACCGAAAATTGGGGGTACCCTTATATGGGGGCTATCCGAAAAAATGGGCCTTTATTTATATTTTTTGGTAGGGAGATTTGCTACCCAATAAGAACTCAAAGTACCAAATTTCAGCGAATTCGATTGAAAAATGCGATCAAAACTTCCAAAATACCGAAAATTGGGGGTACCCTTATATGGGGGCTATCCGAAAAAATGGACCTGTATTTATAATTTTTGGTAGTAGTAGTACTAAATTTCAGCGAATTCAGTTAAGAAACGCGCTCAAGAACCTCAAAATACCGAAGATTTGGGGGTACCCTCATATGGGAGCTATGCCTAAACGTGGACCGATTTTCTCCAATTTCTGTAGGGTTCGTCCTTGGAGCAATTAAGTGACATGTGCCAAATTTCATCCAAATCGGATGATAAATGCGACCTGTACTTTGTTAACAAAAATACATGGACGGACAGACGGACATGCATAAATCGACTCAAAAAGTGATTCTATGCATACACTGAAATTTCCATTCGACTGCCAGATCACACTACGATCCTAGAAGCGGTTGTTCAAGCTATAACGGAGTGTCGAAACTGATTCAAAAGTTCAAACTCAGGACAAAATACAGTAAATATTATGACAGATGGTAAACTAGCTATAAAAGCTATAACCTCCAAAACAGTTAAATCTAAAACTGTACTGGAATGCATAAAAATCATAAACAATTTCTTGTACGAATCATTTGTGTACCGAGTCACATAGCAATAATGGGCAATGATATATCAATTCTACTCGTCAGAAGTGCAACTGACCGACCCACTATAGGTTTGAATAACACCTAACATTTTAGTGCAACACGTGTAGAACTTAGGTGATGGGTGAAAGAGACCCATCATCTCATAACTCGCGAATCATTGAAATATTCCTTATGTTCTACTAAATAGAGATAACAAATAATCCGTTGTGTGAGATCTGTGTTGGTGGTAATGCAAAAAAAGTGGATGAAAATATATTGAAGTCATCAAGTTGTTTTGTGTTCTAACCTGATTTGTGGCTAAACTACACAATGCACTCACATCTGATCAACGACTAAATTTAAGAATACCCCATTGGCATTATGGTTTCAATGTATAATTTTTCCACCCAAAACGGATGCTGAAATTTTGAAGCCGGATTTTCAGTGTTTTTTAATTTTTTTTTTATAATTGAGCTGATTGTGGGATTGTAGACCTCATTATTTTGCTTCGTTTAGTGTATAACTCATGAATGTATTCGTCGTAGCTTCTTAGTAACTTACGTGTCCTATTTAAGTGACCTTGAACTCTGCGTGAATTTATTTATTTATTCATTTTTTTTTTTTTTTTTTTTGAGCCCAGTCAACGGCAGGAGATTACTGAAATCGGATGCCCATACAAATAGTATGCATTTTGCATAATTTCTAGCCATTTTTTTAGGGTTTTTGCATAGCAAAATGAATCGAGCGGCACACTTTGGCCGCTACATTAGGTCATCCAGTAAGGACAACTGATTTCTATTTGTGATTTTTTGTCAAATTTTATTTTATAAAAACATGAATGAAAAACATAAACGACACATACAAAATATATTCCAAAAAATTGTATTTTGGTTTAAGAGAATTGTGTGGTGTGAATATTCAGAAATAATAAGTCGCATATTTACTGTCGATTCGAAAGCTATGAAGCAAGTGAGTGAGTGAACAATCCAATTCGTTATAGTGAAACCCAATTTGTGGGAAATGAGGTACGTCTGCGTACTTTTCCAGTAATAATTACTCAGTAAATTCTTTTGTGAGAGTAAGAGAGATTCTTCTTCTTCAAACAATAGAATCACACAAGGCCTATATAAGGTCGGGCAGTAAGCGAATTCATAGAAAAAAGTTAAGTTTAACGTCATTTTTTTGCCGAGGCGAAAACTAATTGTTTCGCCTTTAAATGAAAATCACAGCCAAAACACAACACAATCTATAATTTCTAGGATAATTTACTTGAAAATCTTCTTTAAACTCTTGAAATACTCCAAATGTTCTGTAAAAAGACGATATAAATTAAAATTGAATTGAATATTGACAAAATATTAATATTTTCGTTTTGACGTCTAACATAATTTTGTATGTATGCAGAGGTTTCAAAATATGATTTGACAAAAAACTTTATACTCACCTCTGGCTTACTGGCCGACCTTATATAGGCCTTGGAATCACAGAAAGTAAAAAGAAATATGAAAAATACATGAGTTGACATTCGCATCCTTTGTTTTTTCTTGTACAAAACTTTACTAAGTAAATTTTCCCAGTAAAATTTTTTAATACACAGCTATAAAAAAATAGCTCTCTCAATTCACGCTCTTTTACTGAAGTTTTGTGTGAAATGACATGCCCTAGATTAAATTGTTTCAAAATAATAATAATAGGAACATGTTGTTCCTTAATGTACCTGAAACGTTGATATGCCACAGGAAATATCAAATCAGATGGTTATATGCCTAATCATTTTTTTAATATCGTTGAACTTATAAACAGAGCAACTCGCATATATGCATTTCCGGCAAAAGGTAAACCAAAGTCGAAGAATTTGTTTATTTAACAGGTGATTTTGCCTCTGAAAGTCGTGTAAGTTACTGCGGAATTGCCCATGTATGCGATACCAAAAATGTGTATCAGTGGTGGGTTTGATAAACTACTACTATGTACAATAAAATAAGTAAAATTATAAACGTAAATTAAGGTAAAAATATTAACAATATAAAATTCATTCTGACAAATTGAATTAATATTGCTCAAAAAGGGATGTAAAACTGTTCAAACAATATTATAATATAAATATATAAAATTAAAAAATATTATTTAAAAGGGAGGGATTGAAACTACTCAAACTTTTTAAATATTCAGATTAATTGGGTAATACAAATTTAATGTGAGGGGTCGGAACTACTTCGCTCTATTAACATATTTATAGTTAATTGGAAATATTAACAATTTAGGGATCGGAACAACTCAAAAATTTTAAAAATATTGATCATACATTGATAAATAGGGTGGCATATTTTACATATATAGGAAACATGGAAACATGCAAAAATTTATGTATGTAGGTCCATGTTTTCTGATAGCCTCCAAACAAAGGTACCTCTATTTTGAGTATTTAGCCAAACATTTGGTATAAACTCATTAAGTGGCGAACCACTTGACACAGGCGGCCAAAATTTGGCTCACATGTTTTTATTATCAAATCTAAATCCAAATCCAAAATGAAGCCAATTCGGAATAAAATTAAATGGTAGAAATTTTCAAAATTTATGTTAATACTAGCAAAGTACCCGCTACTTCGTATGCGGAAAGGGAAT